GAGCTCCAGCAGCTGCGACAGCCGCCCCTGCGGCCGACGGGGTCTTCAAGAGTGGACCTGGAGTGGAAACGCAGCGGAGTACTTGTTCGAGTCTGGATTTACAAGTGGTCACGACTGTAGCAGCGGCACCGGTTATATCATAATTTCAAATCTCGATTTCGGCCAGGTTTGGAGAGGGAGGTTTTGATACATTGAAAGTGAGAGAGATATAGAAACAGAGAGCGAGAGAGAGAGAGAGAGCGATAGAGAACGTAGCCAGCGGTGAGGCGCGATGGCACGATTCTAGACCAAGAGCGTAGCGGTCGCAGAGACGATAGCATGATTCCCGAGCTGGCATGTGGGCATGGTGAAGTTGAGAGCACGATTCTGGATTCACGGGTGTCGCTGGTGCTCGCCGAGCGCGTTCCACTACACGCAAAGTTCTACTCGCAAACGTCCTAAACTTATGTTCTGCTTTGACGTAATTTGCGGGATCCAAGCCATTTGCGAGTAGTGTTTTTGCGAGCAGTGGAACGCGCTCGTCTACGTTCGAAGAAGGCAGGACTCAAGTTTTGGCAGAGGGCCACGCCAGAGCACGCTGGCAGACTAGAAGTATGGCCAGCGCCGTGACGAGAGCTCGCTTTCGAATCAGGATGCCAATTCTGTGCCTGACATGCGGCCAGTGCCACAACATGGGGAGGGCCCTGATGCCGTCGTCCAGGACGATATTCTCCAAGCTGTGCTTGCACTAGGGGGTTCCAACTTCGCTTTGAGCAGTTCTTGACGCTGGGATTGTCACCACCAGCCCAAAGTGGGGGGGCAACCATACGTAAATGCCTTCGCGGATCTTTCGATATGGGAGCCTGTTGTTTTCCCTCTTGGAGCCTTCTCAGAGCCTTCTGGGAGCTCCCTTGGGGCCATCTTGGAGGCCTTGGTGGCGCTCTTTGGGCTATCTCGGAGGCCATAGTCGATCAAAGAAGGGGGGTTTCTCAAGGACGGCCCCCCCCCCTCTCGCAGGCCGAACAATTGCCTCTTGGGGCTCTCTTGAGCCGTCTTGAGGCCTCAAGAGCCCATCGGAAGCGAAGGGGCGATTCTGCAAACAACACTGAGCTGTCTTGCGTTCTGGCAGGATTTGGGCCTCTCTCTGAAGGGTCCTTGAGAGACTCCGTGGACACTGGGAGCCGTCTTAGGGCGATCTCGGGACTTCTAGGAGTCATGTTGGAAGCTTTGTTGAACCATCTTGGTCTACATTGTGCGATGCCGTCGTGGGCTGTACACGGGTGGTACTGTAGTTTTGACCGTAACATGTCATCATGTCATCCGCCGAGACCCCCCGCCCCCCGTATAATCTCAGCGACAGGTTTCTGGTCTGGCTGCGCTTCCGAGCCCAGGGGCTCGCACCCTGCAAGAGTATAACAATATCTATATATATATATATATATATATATATATACACAAGATATAAGCCCCTCTCGGCTCTGACCATTGTGGACGGGGCTGGTGGAGGCACCAGGCGGGCGCCCAATGTCTGCCACACAATGATGGCACCGCCGCAGCTGTGCTCCCGAGGGAGCGGCGGCACATGATGGCTGCGCGAGCCACCTTCCTGTCGCTCGCAGTCTTCAACCCCTTCAGCCTGGTTGGCACGCGTGGCGAGGAGGTCAGCGCTCAGCTGCAGCAGGTACACATCGTCGCGTGCCCAGGCACCAAGATCCCGAAGCACCCACATAGTGCTCACCATACTCAGCAGTATGATCATCACACAGCGATCCACTTCGGCTACGGCAAGCCGAACATGCACGTCAACAACTCAGCGGGCTGCGCCATTCTCTTGAACTCGAGGTTCAAGACGCGACACATCAAGGACATCACCTGCCCTGCACAGGAGTTGTACGGCAGAGGCGGCGCGGTCACGATCGAGCAGGGGGCCACCAAGCTCAAGGTGATCGTCGCCTACTCCCCGCCAGCCCCATGGGATAAGAAGAAGGTCCCGCAGTGGCGCGTCACCATGACCAAGCTCGCCCAGTGGGTCAACCACGAGCTTATGGCCACCCCGTCGAGGTTCACACCGATCATCATGATGGACTTGAACGACCGCTTCGCAGTTGGCCCTGATGGAGACGAGACCGTCGGCTCCTTCCCGACGGGCCGCGAGGGCGAAGCTGGCAAGCTGTACCACCGCACCTTAGAGAACAATCACATGGCCGTCGCCAACACCTACTACGATACAGGCCCCACCTACGTCGGCCGCTTCCCCTCCGTCACGGACTACATCTACATGCCGAGAGGACTTATATCCAGGATCCAAAGCTGCCGCGTCTGGAACCACTCCGCCTACGCCCTGCAGATCTCACGCAAGTTTAAGGACCACAAGCCGCTGGTACTCAAGATGGAGGCCCCCCCATTATGCCACACCGAGGGCAAAGCCATCCAGCACTTCGACCGCGACGCCCTCGCCCTGGAGCTGAAGGAAGGCCACAAGCGCGAAGAGTTCCTCGCCAGCCTGGAGCAGCAGCTCAGCACCCACGCGCAGTTATTGGATCAGTATTTGGAGCTCGAGGACGGCACTTATCATTGGGGACTCACAATGCAGTGTTTCAGAGATGCGGCCTTGGAACATTTCTCTCTTGATGTTCAGCGACCTCAGTGGTACAAGGAGGCCCGTGCGACCAAGCTAGACCAGCTACGGCAGCGCGCAGTTCTTCGCATCCAGCGCGCTCAGCTCGAGGAGAGCAATAGCCTGGAGGCCGAGATCGAGGCCCTGGACACATCCATCCGCGATTTGAGCAAGACGCTCACCCGACACATCAAAGACACGAACCATAAGTACAAAGAGAACCAGTGCGAGGACCTGTGGCAAGCATGGCGCAGCCGACGTCTTGCGGAATGCCATCGAGTCGTTAAAGGTATGCTTCGACATCGGCTCCGAGCGAGACGCAGGTTCTATGGCATTTTACCGAGCAGCAGACCGAGCACATATCAATGGCAACAGTTTCTGGAACGCCCAGGCGCTGAAGGCGGTCTTCTCGCAATTCCAGCACCAGTCCACGTACCTACGCGAGCAGAGCTTACTGGAGCCAATGGATCTCTTAATATCGGAAGTAGGCCAACGCCAATACCAGGACACTCTCACCTGGCATCTTCACTACCACGTCCGACCGCGACAGGCGTGGGTTTGTCTACCCAGCGGGGGGCGCGGTGCGAGTGGGGACTGCCCGGCGGTGCGCCGTTAGTGACCCTCGCACCGTTGCTCCCCGGCCCCGCGCACGGCGCGGAGAGTTCAACTCTGCCTCTGGCTGGATGGAACAAAATACCACGTCCGACCGCGGACCTACCCACCTACCATCAAGGCATGGACGACGCCGAGGCCTCCTTCGACGACATGATCGACCAAGAGGAGCCAGACACGCACACGCTCGACCAGATGCTACCACCAACGCCGAGTACACCACCTCCATCGGCACCGAGTGCAACAACTTCGACTTCTGCTTCGGGACCCGCACCCTTACCTGCCACCCGGGGCCTCCAGCTCAACTTCGTGATGGAAGCAGCCGACGAGTTGGCAGCAGTCACTAAGCTTCTGGGCAAGGCGAAGCGACGGAAATATGCCCCAACTTTCTCGGTACCAGCTGAAGTCCTTCTCATGGTCCTTCAACATGAACTCCTTCGACGACCAGGACGAGCTCGAGGGGGACTTGGAGCCGCCAATGCCCCAGCAGCTGATGAGGACCCATCGCGACGGAAGCTTCAACTATCTCAGCCTTACCGCCTTGGACGAGCACGACTAGTAGCTACGTTGGCACACGTTCGTCAATACGATCGGGTACCGATGCAAGCAAATACCTCACACAGCTTCCAGCTCGACAAGGGCAAGATGATCCCTGGCCCATGTGGACTACGCCTCATCCATTGCTTCGACGTGTTCTGGCGCTGTTTCTATCGGCACTTACGGGAACGAGGCTTTCCTGAGGCACCACCTGACTACGCCTACGGCGGCATCGCTCATAGACGCAGAGAATACGGCATGATTGTCACCAGAGTGATGGCCAGCAAACTTCGGAAGGCTCGTATCGCTTTTGCGGTGCGCTCCCATGATGGTCGCAACGCATTTGGCTGTACCAACCACGAAGCAATCACAGAGTACGTTCTTCCCTCTTTTCGTGCAGGAGACCGACGGCTGGTTCAGCAACGTCGGAGAGAATCCCAGACCATCGTGGACGCCAGCGACGGGACCCTACTGATGCGCAACCGCGAGGGTGGCCTGATGGGCTGCTCCAACGAGCCCGACGCCTTCATGAAGGTCTACAACGCCAAGCTCGAGCATTGGCGCGACGACACCAAGGCCACGATCTCCAACAAGATGCTCCTCTCATGCGCGCCGAAGTGGGACCCCGAAGGACCAGTACAGGACGCATCGCGCCAAGTATTCGTGGACGACATTCTGAAGTTCCACATTGCGATTCGAGTCGGACCCAAGAAGCAGGCTATGGATGCTCAAGGCAACTTGCACGATGCGACGATCACCGAGCTCGACGCCCTTGCAATGACCATCGAGCGCGACCTGGACTCCCTACGGGCATCGCTACGGACTGGAGGTTTCGGCCTGAATGAGTCCAAGGAAGAAATCGTCCACGGCATCCCGTCCAAGACCCTCCACCGCGCCTTCTTCGACGATAGCCGCATCAACTGCCGCAAGCTCACCTCCATGAAACACGTCGGGGGCATGTTCGACGGCAAGGATACGTTTGGCGGCGAAAGAGAAGCACGTCTGCGAGCTGCCAACGCAGGATGGAGTCAGTACCATCAATTCTGGTTTAGTCGTGCACCTCGACGCCTGAAGCGGTTGGTCTTTCAAGCGGTGGTCTACGAGGCGGCCATCAGTGGCGCTGAGACGTACTATCTGCACACGACGGACTACAAGAAGCTCGACACGTCCCTGGGCAAGAAGCTTAGGGCTATGCTGAAAGGCAAAGCCAGCACGCGCACGCACGACAAGTACAAAGCCACCTCAGCCGCCGAAG